TTTGTGCTTGGATATCCAATAGAGTCAGTTTCAACAGACAGGATGACTATATATAGACGGAAAATTACAATTGATATTTGTTTCGATCGATACTTTTTAAACTGAGAAACAAATCTCATAATTGTATGTACAAAGATACATACAAATTTATTGCCCTTTACCCTTAATCACATATTACAACATTTTCATTTGCCTATATTTAACAGAAATATTTTTTCTTCCATCTCACAATAACATAAAATAAGTTTTCATATTATTGACAAAATATGTTGCTCCAAATGCCTCTTAATTATTCAATGTTCTCTCATATTTAGCCCATGTTTGGCACCCATTAATTTCTCATTCTCATTTCCATTTCCATTCTCATTCTCATTCTTCATTTCAACCACATATTCTTCAAATAAAATAATATTACACACAAATCAAAAACTTTTCATCACTTTTCCACCACACATTCTCACATCAATCACTATTCCAAAATTTCTATTCTCCTCAAAATTAGATTCAAACACACCCTTAAACTTTCTATACTATTCAATAAAGATTCTATATCCAATGCTAACGAAACCTTCAAAATTAGAAATTTCATGCATCGCACGGACCAACACTAGTTTTAATAAAAAATTCGAACGTTGTAACAGTAATTTGCAATCAGTTCAGCTTCAATATTTGAAAATTTTACGAGCATATGCCTTTTCTATCTGTAAAATCTCCAAAATGTCATGCGTTAATCGATTGAATGCTACAATTAAGGGGCAAAATGGTATTTTCCTCAAAAAAAATTTAATTAATTTGTGAGAAAGCAGCCAACAAAGGCTGCAACCCTGTCCCCTTCGCCGTATAATGTTGACATTTTTCATTATATTCTGGTAAAAAATGCCGCCCAAAAAGGCACGTAATTATTCTTAATCATGAAAAACCTTCATATGTCGTTAAATGTCCTCATGTGCTATGGCATTAGTTTTTACTTCTCAGTGTGTATGTCACGCAGTATTTCCACAAATTCAAGTGAAAATCTATTGAAGATTTAAACAAAAATAAATTTTGTAACTGTAATAGTTTTGGGACAATAGTTTGAGGACTAATAACGAAAATATTCCGAATTCTTAAGCACAAAATTGAGGAGTTGACGTCCCTTTTTTCTGATTTCCTTTCCCCAGAATACGTTGCTAGATGGTGTAGTGATAAACTGAGATCTGCAAATTCTTTCTAGGTAAGAATTTCCTTTTTCAGGTTTTATGATGTGCACATGCTGTTCCATTCTTTCTGTTCTTCAAAAAATATTAATACGTGCCCATATAAATAAATAATTGTAAAAGAAGAAACCTTGAATCAAGAAAATTTTATTAGGGATGTGCAGAAATTGTATTAGTAGCCTTGGATTTTGTGACCAATACCTTGAATTGTTCCATTAGCTGGGGTTAGAGAATGATAGGAATACATTTATATAATAATTTGATGACAGTTTGATATGTAGTGCATAAGAAATGTTTGATGGGTAGCCTGGTTTTTGTAGCTTGTGATTTGAACAGATTTATCAATCCTCAAGTACTAGCACCTTTAACTTTTTTGAATAGAGAATATGTTCAAGATGTAAATTTCTTATAAATTTTTGATTGTTTAACGTTAGCAATCAATTGTCCTAGTTTAGTAATCTGGCTTTAACATTGCCTAGTGGATGGAAGATTTAGGGGTTGGCGCGATGGTGAGCTGTGTAGTTATTACAGCATAAATGGATGAAGGAAATGGAATAAGTTTAAGTTAGTCTCTGTGGGTTTTGCTGCATAAGAGTTTATTAGTATGCATTAATTTAAGCATTCTTTATGTTGAAGTTTTTATCTTTATCAGGTTTGGCATTAACTTACAAATCAATCACTCTTGTTATTTAGATTTGACTAGGAGTACTTGAAGTGAATATTTGAAGAGTTTCTCAATATCGTGCGTTTTGGGAACTTGAGGCAAGTGATTTGGGTCATCCTTCTATTTGTTTGCCATATTAAACATATCCCTTTTCTTGCAATCATATGTATTCTGCAAGATGGAATTATCTGAATCTCTATTGCTTCTCATATGACTACTGGAAGCTCTATTTTTGCTAAATAATATCTCTATTATTTGATAATCTGAAAAAAGTTGTTTTTGAATATCCTATGCTACTTCATTTTATTTTGAGTTATGTTCGATCCGAAAGGCATACTAGGGACTACTGCTGAATTGTGGTAAACCCTCTCCTTACCCACCATTTTCACATGCTTAGAGGACTGTTGGAGTTGATGCTTATGGAAGAGATAAATTCTGTGGAGACTCATAAGCTTTGTTATTAATTTCTCAGGGATGGTATTTTGTGATTTTCCAGAAAGTTATGTATTGATATTGTTGAATTCTTCTTTTCCATTTCATGTTGCCAGTATTTGATGCACTTGAAGGTTACATGTTCAAGATGCATTACTAATTTATTCTTCAAATTTTGTACGACTACATCATGATGTACCATTGAAGAGTTTCATTGTTAAGAATAGATACAATACTCTTTTCTTTATAGGGTCTTCATCGTACACAGACATGCTCAAGGTCCCCGATCACCAGGTTGCTGGACACAAAGCTGGTAATGGGAAGCTTGGTCCCCTTGTAGATGACTCCGGACATTTCTACAAACCTCTTCAGGGTGATGAGCGTGGATCCAATGAAGTTTCTTTCTATGCATCATTTTCTTCAAACACCAGGATCCCGGGCCACATTCGCAGATTCTTTCCGAATTTTTATGGCACTCAGCTTGTAGAGGCCTCCGATGGATCTGGCTTGCAACCTCATCTTGTTTTGCAAGATCTTACTTTAGGTCGAGTCAATCCATCAATAATGGACATTAAAATTGGTTCAAGAACTTGGCCTCCTCAAGCAACCAAGGATTACATCAGTAAGTGTTTGAAGAAAGATAGAGAAAGTTCTAGCATTCCATTAGGATTCAGGTTTTCAGGGTTGCAAATTTATGAAAGCAGAGAATTGGGATTCTGGAAGCCTGGGAAGAGGTCTATTAAGTGTCTTTCAGCTGATGAAGTTAAATTAATTCTGAGAAAGTTTGTTTCTTCTCATGCGTCTGAAGAAATGGATTCAAAACCAGATTGCACTTTTGCGTCAGTTGTTTATGGTGGTTCAGCTGGTATTTTAGCACAGTTATTGGAGTTAAAAGCATGGTTTGAGGATCAAACCATTTATCATTTTTATTCTTGTTCTGTTCTTATGACATACGAAAAGGAGCTAATATCAAATGGAAAGAGCCCAAATGCAGAGATCAAGCTCGTTGATTTTGCACACGTTGTTGAAGGCAAGGGCGTTATTGACCACAACTTCTTGGGTGGGCTCTGCTCGTTGATAAAGTTCATTTCTGAGATCCTTACCACACCAGACGAGTGCACAACTGAATCTTCTTCAGAAGATTTTCGGAAGAATAGGATTTCTGAGGACGGTGCGCCTTGAACAATGGATATTGATCAGTTAGGTGCACTTGGTATTTTTTTAGTGACGGGATCTTGATGGAAGTATGGAATAAAGATTGTAAAACTTTTCGACCGATAAATTATTCCCCGATGAATTTCAAACTTCGTGCTGCTATTTTTCTTCCGTTAAGATGTTTGTCATTTTAGTATTATTTGTTTATTTAATGGACATTAGCAGTTGTTATTAGTATTACTGTTTTTATCTGGAAATCCAGGAAGAAAAGGGATGGACTACACCCATTTATTTTTTCCTCGTGGGAATATTGGATAAAAAGCAAAACCAGGAGCAAATGGTCAACTTGGTATCTCACACAAGGACAGCCAACCTTCCAGATAAGTAATAATCAATTTCCTTTCAAGCAATTGTTTTTACAACGAAAGCAACTTTCATAATCAGTAATGAAGTGAACTCCAAGCTTCAAAATAGTTTACGCTGCTTGTCCCAACCAAAAATACCTGCTATATATGCTGCACTCATAAAAATGCAGAAACTAGATAATCCACCATAACCCACCCACCCACCCAGAAAGAGAAGAAATGAAGAACTCCAATCTTTCTCTTGGCATTGCTTTCTTACTACGTTTTTGTATTTGCACCAAACTGTGCTGTGCGGGAGATGTGGATAATCTTCATGATATATGCCCAACAGATACAAAAGATCAAAGAATCTTTATTAATGGCTTTCTGTGCAAGAATCCTGCTAATATAACAGCGTCTGATTTCAAATCCTCATTGCTGAACCATGGTGGTGACACGGATAACTTTTATCGTTCGTTTATGAACATAATTACTGCAGCAGAGTTTCCAGGACTCAACACCCTTGGATTATCAGCTTCCAGGACTGACATAGAGGATGATGGAATGGTAAAGTTGAGCTACTTTATCTAAAAGTTTAATTTATTAGTCATAGATGACGTTATTTATTTAAAATCTTAGTCTTTAACATACCTCATGTGGAGCCCCAATTCATTTTTTCATTGAAGACTTAACGTGTACATACAATTTTCATAAATCGGTTGCAACGAGACTTGATACATTTACTTGCTTTGACGGTTAAGATGGAGATGAATTTAATCTTTGTTTTCAACCTGTCCCATCACTTAAGGCCGAATTCACTTTTTTTTACCATACACTTGATTGATGTGCACAATTTCATAAATGCATGGTAGTGATATTTGATCCCAAGACTTCTACAACTTTAATACCATGTTGAATTACATTATCTAAAAGTTTAAATTGTTAGAAAATTGATGATTTGTTTATTGAACTTAGTCTTCAACATGCTTTGATATGTAGACCAAGTTTATTTTTTAATTAAGCCCCGACTAAGGTATGCCCCGTCCATGGTGGACACAGCCCTAATAACATGTTGTATGGATCTACCCGCCTCTATAGTTGCCCATTTTAGGCCCGCCTCTAGGGGCCTAAGGTCGTGCTGGGCCGACCTGCTTGATATTCTTAAATAGGTGTCTTAAAAATGGAATGCAAATCCATTCATAGAAAGGGTTAATCCATTTGTACATAATGGATTATCCCCTCTCATATAATGCGCGGGGCCCGTGTGTATTTAAAAGTTTCGACAATATGGTTTCCATCCTCATTGTGAGTAGCAAGTAAAAGATTCGATAAAAAGATTTGGTACATGTAGCATGATCCTAATAGAAATATGTTAAAAGTTCACTATACTGGACTCAGAGTTTTTGGTCCTTGAGATTTTTTGGTGTTCCTGGCCTAAGACTCTAGAAAACCAAGTCTCATCGGCTTTTTACACCTCCATGCCTGACACCTGCACAATTTTATATTATGTTGTTGAACCATCTTGTTTAGAGCTTAAGAAGTAGAGAGCGAGTGAATATATTTATCTAAATCTCGTCTTTCAATCAGGTGGCTCCACATGCTCATCCAAGGGCTTCCGAAATGATGTTTGTGAGCACTGGTGTCGTTATAGCAGGATTTGTAGATTCCAACAACCAGGTTTTTCAGAAAGTTCTGAATGAAGGTGATGTCTTTGTGTTTCCAAGAGGTCTTCTGCACTTTTGTTTCAATGCTGGTTTGGAGAGTGCCACTATTTTCTCTGTTCTAAACAGCCAGAATCCAGGGCTAATAACCATGTCAGGTTCCATGTTTGCACCCAATGATTCAAAGGCCATGAAAATGTTAATGAAGAAATTATTCTCTCTTTCTTCACTGGATTTGGGTCGCATTGATATGAATTTGTTTTCGAATTAAGCTTATGAAAAATGCTAATGAAGAAACTTATTTTTTGGCCATGCACGTGATGTAATCTGTAACATACCTTTGAAGCTTTATTATTGGCTTGTATCTATTTTTCTCATCAACTTATTTCATTATTGAGTAAAAATTTCGAAGGCTCCTTATATTTTAAATTTAAAACAACAATGAAACAGTTGTCACCAAAATCCATAACCTTCCTTTTAGAGGAGTTAAAAAATAGTATAACCTGGTGTTTCGTGGATTTGACTGACAAAAGGCTTAAGTTTGGTGCGTCTAAGGTGGTATCGTGTTACAGAGTTCAAATCAGTCTAATACTCTCAACATAATGTTACATTTGCACGCCTATATTAATTTATAATACCAGACTTTTCCCTTTCTAATTGATTCATCCCCACTTTCCATTCTTATTTCTCCATGGCTCTCTTATTATTTATTTCTCTCTTCTTCTTTTTTTCCAAAGGGATGAATCTCCTCGTCGAATAAAGTCGTAATTTTCTCTAGTCTTTTGACAGACTCAGCATGATAAATTAATGTTATATAGAAATTGAAATATCATTTGTAGAGTGTATTTTCAATTTTCACCAACATCATTCATTTGTATTCTCCTCCTTTTTTAAAATGCCATTTGCAGTGGCGGATCCAGGATTCTTGGTACCAACCCAAACCCAGCTCTCTTCCTCCACCACCTAGGCATCTACATATTTCCTCTACCTCATCCAGTGGCGGATCCAGGATTCTTGGTCAGCCGGGCGGTTGTCGACCATCGACCTTCGTTTTTAACTTTTCACTCAACCAAAGAAAAGGAGTACTGGATATAATTTTTGGGTGCTTCTGAGTAATACCCAAAAGACAAACTTAGTCATCTTTTTACCACGAACAAAGTATGAAGAAGCATATTATAGAATGCAACTAAATTATAACATAAATCATAAATGATAAATAAAAAAATAAATTGAAGTCTAAAAGAACAAAAACCAAAAAAAGAAAAACAAGGCACGTGACTCACGAAGTTACTAGTTATTAGCACAACGAAGATACCATGGGTCAATGGTGGAGACCGAAGAGGCTTGGCGACGACTCGGCAACAACTAACAACAGGACGCAGGGGCGAGAGGGAGGGAATGAGATAGGGTTTGGAATTGCAATCTTAATTCATTTTGCAAATGAATTATTTGTTTCAATTAAACAAAATATACACATTAAATGCAAAACAGCATTCGGTGGACTGGGCCTACTTTAAAAAAAAAAAAAAGAGGCCCAACCAAAAGAAGAGGCCCAGAATTGAAAAAAAAAAAAGCTTTCCCTGTCATCTTCCAAAATACTCCATGTGCGGTGCCTGAAATTCAATTTTCAAGCTTCCTCGGCTCCGGTCGTCACTGCCACTACGTATGTTTTCTTTTTTGGCTTGGTCATTTAAGGTAAAAAGGCCCATGGGCCACAACATAAGCCCAAGCTTAAAAAAAGAAAAAAAAAACACATAAAAGTTACCTCGCTTGTCCGGTCGTCTTCTTCCTTCCTTCCACTGTTCTTGCGGATCCTAGCATGCGAGGTCGCGCCCCCTCGCCGGGGTGCTAGGTCCGCCACTGTTTGTATGTGGGTTTTACTAATTTTTTTCTTATTTTGCCCTTGTTTGGTCCCATTTTGTAAAATTCTTTTTTTTGAACTCATTTTCAATTACATTTTATGGGAGTCACAATTTTTATCAATTTTTGAATGACGTATTTTATCAACTTTTATCAAATTTTTGACTAACTAAACAGGGACTTAATGATTTTCAACAACTATTTTATAATTCTATGTGTGTTGAAATTTCTCTATTATTGTGATAGTTAATCCTACTACTTCTACTTCTAGGATTTCCTCGTTTAAAAAAATGTGGGGCATATCGTATCATTCTCCATGATTCTCATTGTTTATTTATTTATTTTCTAACGCCATGCAATTTTTTTGTTAGGGATGAATTTCTACATGGAATAAAGATGAAAATATTAATCAATATATAAATATTGATCTTTTAAGATAGAAATCTAAATCTTCATATTTCGCTATCTTCTTCTTCTTTTAAGAAAATCGTGTCCGCATAGTTTTACTAAAATTTCCTCATTTTAGTGTTCTCAAAAACTATTTTATAATTCTGAGTCAATTTTTCTCCCAAATACAAAAAGGACTCGAAATATGTATCAAATTTTGACACGAACCTTAGAAAAGGGGTAGGATTGTTTTGGTTTGGGCAATAATGGGGGTTGGTTTGGTTGGACTTTGGAGAAAGTGGTGCCCGCGTTTGTGTGTGCTGTAATGCATAATATCATTCTAAATTGCTTATTCCGCGTCTATCACTCTGTGATTTTTTCTTTATACGATAATAGTATTAGCCATTAGGATAAGCATGGCAAGAATGTCAAAGTCAAACACCACTAATCTTAAAGCTAAGGGTCTGTTTGGCATAGCTTTAATTGCCAAAAGATTTTTCGTGGGTTGGCTTCAAGTCTATCCCACAAGAACCCTACTTGGTGTACAGAGATTTTTACCGGGGTTTTACAGATACACATTTGGCTAATTCTTAGTGGCAATCGAAAAAAAAAAAAAAGAAAGAAAAAACTGTTTATAAAGGACTGTCATTTCAGCTCTATAAATTGTTCGCTAATAATTTACCCAGTACAAGGGGCTAAATCCATCACACAAATGTGATATGGTACAGATTTTAGGGTAAGGTGGGGTTGACTACATGCTTGATTGCTGAAATGTTGTCTGATATGGGAGAGTTTGAACTCATCTTACCCTTCACAGATTCCATCGCGTTCCCAGGATTCGAATTCTTGGCATTTCCTCTAACAGTGACTTAAATTGAATCTTAGTACCAATTCTCACCTAGCGGACAATACGTAAGTTAACGGTTTGGATAAAGAGGTGAGGTCGTTAAAAAAAACGCATATTTTTTGTATCGTCTCAGGTCTTGTGTCCAATCGTTCTCTTATGTGCTATCCGCTTTGGGAGGACATCACCATCTTACCCCTCAAACTTTCTGTCGCGTCCCCTAAGATTCGAATACATGATATCTTCTTAACAGAGATTTAAATTGAATATTGGTGTCAATTGGACAACTATGAATGTTGCCCAACATGTTCTAAACCCCACAAATTTTTGTTATTGGTTCGATAAGGTAAATTGGCAGTATATATTACTAGATAATATGAGCTAGAATTATATTTTATGCATTATATTATTCTCACGCGTAATAAACTTCCCCATTAACCAGTTGTTACGACCACTTAGAGCTTTAATAATCAAAAGTCTTTTATGGGTTGGAATCCATTGGGTTGGGTGTGGAGGTGGTAGGGACCAAGGTTAACATCAACTTGATAGATGAAAGACGATACGGTACTAAAGAGAGAATTTTCGAGCCAAAGTCTACCACCAAAAATAATTTTATTGAATTTGTTATGGTGGATTGTATGATTTTTTATTTTTTATTTTTATTTTTTTTATGGAAGAACAAGAATTTACAATATTATGCACTTGTTTGATAGGGATTTTAATCTAAATCAAAGTCAAAAATCAATTTTAACCACATATTTTATGGGATCTACAATTTTTCAACCACATATTTCATTAATTTTTATCAAAATCTACTAAAAATCTAAATTTAATCCCTACCAAACAGGGCTATGTATATTTCTTCATTCTTATTCCGATCGCATAAAACGTTGTTAATTTTCAAATAGTATGTTGCCTATTTTACAACTAAAAAGCTACAAATTGCATAGGTTCGAGTTTAGTTTGTGACATATCACTTCTATTTACAAATTGTTTTTGACGAATTTCAATATTACACTTGCTTTGTCAAACTGGCCCTAAATATACTTATTTTGCACATTTAGTTAAAGGACAAATGTCGAACTCCCTCCAAATTATGCATTGTATTTTATCACTTTCATTATTTAATAAAGAATATTGTTATATATACAACACGTGTGATCGTTCTCATGTGATATGACAGTTGAAATGATGCAACCAATTACTTGAGTGGACATGAGATTTTCTTTATTGACCTTATCATTTAATGACAGCTCACATGAAAATCATACCCAACTTGTACATAAAGCATTATTCAAAGTCATGAATAAAATATACCACACAGTGTTCAGGTTAAAAAAAAAAGTTTGTTTTCTAGTTCCTCCATGTACAACTCTCAAATACATTGACAAGAATAATTTGCGTCCAACCTAGCTCAGTACATGTTTGGTTAAAATTATATCTCAGTTGAGCCGGCAGTCGCAGTGTGAGGGTTCGACTTCTGCCTCTTACAAGGTATTAAATTTGATTCTTTGTGGGCACCAGTATAGTAATTCTTGTACCCTGACCTGATGAGGCACATCCCGCGATTTACCTCATCCACATTTCTCTAGGGGCGAAGCGATAGAGGACCCTCAAAATTGGGGTTCAACCTTTTTTTTATAATCTCATTATGATTTGAAGTAAAAATCAAATATTAATTTAATTATACGTTGAAAAGTACACATTCTGAGATATCTATTACTCATCTTTGTTATAATCTCTATCCAAGACAATCTTACTCTTACAGTCTTACTTTTTACTATATTTGGAGTTTTATGTAAGCAGACGTTGAGGTTTGAAATCAGAAGAAGAAATTTCAAATTTGTTACGATTCGTCACATGGCGATGCAGTAATGGATCTTGGAAGCATATGAATATCTAGAAACCCAACTACCCCACCAACCAAAAAAAAAAAAAAAGTAACCAAATAATACATGCATTTCTGGGCCAATAAATATATGCCGATGGTTGGTGAAATTCTCCATTCCCACCTTCCATGACTTGACCACTATCTCTTACAGCTTATAAGTGATAATAGATTTAAAAAAAACTAATCAAATTGGGACCCACAAGTTATCTTTGCTTATGCAAGCATGATATTTTGTGAGGTCATTACTCGTCAAAAATTATCTCTACTTTCCAAAGAAAAAACTTAAATTATATAGAATATCCACCTTCAGTGGTCACGGGTGTTCAACTTCATCTTTGATAACATCTGTACATGGGGATCGGGGCCCAGCCATACCATTTGTTAGTCGAAAACTCAAAAGTTCTCTTTATGGAATTCAAATTTGGTAGAGGTCTTGTGAGAAAAATCAGAGGCGAGTTGTCTTAGTTCTTTCACAGGTGGTGGCGCCCCACAATAGAATACCCCTGCAAATATCGACGGAAGAAAACTTCATTAAAATTCAATCAAGAAAAGTATTAGTAGGCTGCTGAAAAAGTATTGGTCCTACTCTTGACACGAAAATATCAACTACTCGTATTATAGAACGTGTAAATGAAGTGTGTAAAGTTCGATTTGTACAGGAACTTACCAATGGTCTTATTGGGGTGATTAAGGGCGATGCGCTTGTAGACAGTACGCCAGTTAGGCTTGGCAAAGTGAGACTTGACTCGAGTTCCAGAGACGACGTCTACTCCATTTTTGGCATGGTTGAGGGATTGAAGCATAGTAATTAGAGCTGAACGAGCATCGCCTTCTTCGTAAACACTGGTGCAGTAATTGTGCATTTCTATTACTCCCTTGTGGTCCATTTCACCGACCTCATTCATAACTCCTTTGAACCAATCAAAAGAACCTTGTTCCCTTGTAACCCAATAGAAGTATGCCCTATTCGTTCTAAAGTTATTTATACGCCCTGATCCCGACTTTCTATTCGGCGTTAAAGGGCTAGCATTGGGTGGTGGAGCAGGGTTGTTAGTGGCAGCTCCTTCACTTCCCTCCTCCAAACCATTCTCTTGATCCTCCATCGCCTTCATGTTGTTCATAATGTCTTTGATGACGCTAATCATCGGTGTTGCGCCAATACCAAGCCCGACAAGCAACACAACATCATACTTTTTGTAGTCTTGAGTTGGCGCTCCATATGGGCCATCAATTAACACTCTTGGGAAACTGTTGAACAACATAATTAGATTCATTTTCTTGAAAATCTAACATTGTAAAGAAGGAAAATGCGACGACTCCAATTCAATCCCACACCGATAAGTTAAGGCTTGACTTGCAGACTTGTAATTATTTAGGCACCCGCCCCCTTATAGAGCAAGTTTTAAGGGCGAAAATAGTTGCGGATGGGGTAAGTTAGAGAGAACTACTACCCGTAAAGACTAGTTTCGGTCAATTTTAAAAATAAGTTGTACTCTACATGGTCGTGACACATTAAAATGAATTTTGAATGAAGATTGAATCAAAAGTACTATCTTTGAATGTTTCCTAGATGCAATGTGCACACATTTAATCAAAAGTGCAGCAGAAATTGGAAAGGAAAATTACTTGGGATTATTCTCTCCCTGCAAATAGTCAGCTCTGAGGAGTCCACTTTTTCCGGTAGGTGGCGGCTGACAAACCTAATAAAGACCAAAAAGATTAGTCCAGATAATTAACATCCACCAAGAATTATTTAATGGATTCTTTGATAATGTCAAATAGTAAGCAAGATTTTATGTTAATTAAATATCATGCAATTTCTCGGCTTGCTTCAATTTTCAACCGTTTTATCTATAAAGTTGAAACATTGTGGCCATGTTAGGTAACTGTATTGCACGCAATCAGACATCATAAAAGACAAGATTGTAGTTTCATTTTCTTCGTGCCAAAAATTCCTTAAGGGTGTCGACTATTGGTCTCAACTTGGTCTTAAAATTCTTTGTTCTTGTTGTCTAAACTGGAGTTTTCTTCGTAGAAGTGATTTAATCTTGTAGCTGAATTGAACATTCCAGAAGGTATAGCAATAAACCGAATGTGTTGTCGAAGAAAGATTTACAGAGTAATAATTAGGTAACTTCCACTAAACTCACCTCGGAGAAAACAGCTTTGAGTTGTCTTGTCCAATCACCAAGAGTTCTAATATGAACACTCACATAATCATCACCAGGGGCGGATGTAATGGAGAATGGGTGCCTAAAAATAAGTGGACCACGAAAAAAAGTTAATTATTTTAACAAGAAATAATCAGAAGTTTATATACACTTTAACAGTCATGATGCTAATTGATAAATTTGACTTGTTCCATTTTGTCGACAACTCAACATAAAAAAAAATTTATTTTGGAGAAACCTACCACTCGAATGGAGAAACAGCTGCACAATTGACAAAAATGTATTGACCACTTTTGTATTTGAAACCTTGTGGCTTGGACATATGAAGGGTCAGCACATTTCCAGGGTAAACAGCCACCTTCATTTGAAAAAATCATCATTTGGACACGATCATAATAAGAAAGTGAAGTGATTGAATTTGTGAATCGTGTCGAGCACATCAACGATGACTAATAATTATTTACCTTTAGGATCTTAACGGCCTTGATGCTGGACCTGAATGCTCTAATCAACCTTTCACCAGCATAGAGTATGATGGGGATTGCCAAGTACATCCATGTCTGCAAGAAGATAAATTTTAAGTTAATTTGATAGATTATTGAAGATAAAATCTAAATAAATGGACTTCACAGTTTCTCATTGTATGCAAAATTAATGGGTTCGAGTCTCACGACTCCATTTAGGAAAAAATTTCCATGTATCATACCAGAATTTGGTCTACACATGAGGGGCACGTTGTAGCTTCACTAACAGTTTAAGTTTTTAGATAAGTTGATTCAGCAGAGATAGTTTAAAAACAATTATAAAAGATCAAACATTAAACACAAGATACTAACCGTTTTCTTGTACCATTCATGGGTCAAATAGAGCTTGATGCCATGAATAACGAGGCAAATGTACACGATGACGAATAGATGATGGGAATACCAGAAGGCATTGAATCCAGTGAGCTTGTTCAATGGTTTAGGTAGGTTCACTCGATTTCGCCTGAACCATGGGGTTGCTAATGTGAAGGCTATTGCCATTAACACCACCATTATGATTCCAGTCACCCCTTCCCATCCCTTCACAAAATACCAATAGCTTGTAGGCTGATCTCCGAAGAAGGGCTCCATCGGCTCATACTTCTCAGAACTTGCATGAAGAAGTCGAGGGAAATCGCACGTCAAGTGACTAATTCCATGTATTCCAACCCCAATTGCAATTGCAACAGCAATTACCTATATCAAAATAGACTTAGTTAGTTGTTGCGTTATGTCCAGTCTATTGTCATCAAGATTAATTAGTAAGATGGTAAAGGTGTTCGACTTACTTTGTGAAAATTGAGGTTGTCATCAAATGGCACAGCCGAACCTAACTTTGTCTTGTTTCTAAGCCAGGTGATTGTGTTCCGGCAGACGGGAAGCAAGATCAGTGCCATGTTGAGCTTAAGTGTTTCAGCAGCGCCCTTAGCCAGACACACACAAGGACCCATAACGTCAAATACTGCTCGGTTTTTATACTGCACATACTTATAAGCAAACAAACCAGCCATAACTCCAATCCACAATGCCATCACCCAAACTCTCTGCCAATTATCCAATAAAAAGTACTTAAAATCTTGATACCATCTCTTTAAGGGGTGGCCTAAAGTTGGCTTAAGCTTCTCACTAAGCATTTTGCTCAAGTTCCGGCTATCACCCCCTCCTCTAACCGACTGGCTCGGACCTTGCAATAAAAGCATCTCCAAGTTTTCAATCTGTTCAAGAATGAAATTTCCGAATAAACATTCATATTTAATGGATTATTAATAATTTCTTGGAACATTATTTATATAGCATCGTAATACCATAATGTATCCATGCTCGTTGGGGTCGAGTTCTTCCATGATCAACCTTGCATATTCATCGGCTTGCTTCTGAATGTTGGACAACTTGTTTGCAGACGCACTTAGGCTAATAATCTGGAGGTACAAAAAAACAAAAAAAAAGTTGGTGTTTACCGTTTACGTAATCTTATCAGCACGTAATTCAACTCCTTAATTATATTTAAAGATAAGAATAATTCAAAATATATTCAACAGCGTGGAGCATATAAAATAATCAATTATTGATGACTGAGTTCATCTTAGATCGAGTCAGATGGAGTAATTCCCATACAGTTCACCCAAAGAGGAAAAAAATTATTCAAATGGACGAAAAATAAAAAATAAAAATAAAAAAAAATCCCATACCTCTCTGACTTCTTCTTCAGTTACTCTGCCATCGGCATCTTTATCAACCCTGTGTTGAAATGATTGAAATTAGATTTCTTGAATCAAGTGATAAGTGAAGAAAAAGGATTTATTCTTAAAGATTTGGTAATGGTACGGAGATTCTAATCCTTACATGTCAAAGAAAGTTTGAAGCCGAGAATCAAAACTTTGATCCGATATTTGATCCCAGAATTCTTTCAGCTGAGCTTTGTTGATGGAATCACCGGTGATATTCCGGCGCCGTCCGAGTGCGTCAAAAAGTTCTCCGGCAAATTCTTTTGATTCCTTGTTCATACCTATTAACATCACAAAAAAATATATATATATATTGCACGGATTAAATTAAAATCTTAAACAAGATGCAATAATTGTTGGGACTGGTGGAGTATTTACTTACCGATGCATTCGCCGAAGAGTGAACGAGGAAGCAAGCCATTGGTGGTGGCAGTTAGCTCATCAAACTTCTTCTCCACCCTGGCCCAGGCGGCACCACCATCAGTTTTGCTAATAAACTTCAGCCCTTTAAGGGCATAAGCGGCAGCGGATTTTGTCCGATCAAATCTCCCCGGCTGAGGTCGCCTTGTCAAAGACGCCAACCGCTTGAGCTCTTGGGACACCTGCTTAATTCTTGAAGATGCATTTCTCACAATTGAAGATCCAAATGATGATTTCTTCTCCAGCCCTCTAGCCAGCAACGCCAGTTCGGGATCCTCCACCTCTCCGCCGCCGGGGGTTTTGACACTGTGCACCGCCACGGAGTCCTCCCTGACGTCGAGGGTGATCTCAACATAGTCATCATTGGAAGCGCCACTACTACCAGGGGAAGAATCCGGGATATTGAACCTTGCGCTCTTCTTGCCACCTCTCTTGTTCAATGGTCCGCTTAATGGACCACTGTAAGAAGTTCTATCATTGCCTACCACCTCCGTGTCAGAATGGCGGTGGTGGTGGTGGAACTGCTGGTTATTGTTTTCTGGGTTTTGCATCTCAACCTGCACAAACAATTCTCAAGCGCCAAATTCCGACTGATCTTAGGCCACCGATTAAAGCAAAATCCAGAACAACAAAGATTATCCTCGAAAATGAAAAATAAAAAATAAAAAAATGGTGGTGTTTGTGGGGTTGGATGGGGCTAACTAATGAAGCAACAACGGATAAAATGGTTTCTTTGGAGATTTTGGGAAAGGTTTGATCAATTTTTATAGAGAAAAAGACGCAGAATTGTTTCAACCTTTTCTGTCTGTAAAAATTAAATAGAGACCTCACGCTTATATAAAAGAAAAGAAGATGATCTGGAAATGGCCAGTCTTTGTTGATGTCATGCGTACTGCAAAAATACGCGCGAAAAATACGTTGTCAATAAAAGTTAATAATAAACATAATTTTCTAATTTATTTACCTTAACATTGTCGACAAATTCGAAAACGTGTTCCAAATCAATCCCTATGCAACGAGACCATTTTACTTTATTAATTATTCAAATCTTGTTGGAGAAATTGTTTATTGAACACTTGCTTGGGGATCTTAAATATTTTATGCACTTGACACGCTGTTAATTTGGCAATTATTACTCCAAATGGGCCTATGTTTGTCAAAGAGTGAGCATTATTTTCTTCCTAACTAACCTAGATTTGCTCTCCCATTTTTCCACTGTAAAAAGTTACCATATAATGCACCATCTCCCCTAGTTGTTCGTTGCGATAATTTGACATAACATAATAAATATAGAGTGGAACGTAGAATAAATAATTTACATATTTTTCTTTTATTTAATAACGTTAAGTTGCAAGTATCATACTTGATCAAAAGACATTGATCAAGTCGAGCTCGTGCCCATAAACTAGGCTCAGTTCGATCCTTTGACTCGTAGGTCTCACGGTCGAGTTGAATCGTCCATCAACCCACCACCCAATTTATGTTTTTTTTTAAAGAAATTAATAAAATATCTCCCAAAAAACAATCGGCCGTGGATAGAGATGGCAGGCTCGACCCGTATGCGCACGAGCTCGGGCTCGGCTCGTTACTCGCGGGCCAAGCTTGGCTTGGCCCGTGAGCTCGTGGGCTAAGCCAAACTTTGGCTAGCGAGCTCGTCAAATTTTTTTTTTTTTTAATAGATAAATCTTAAAAAAAAAAAAAAATTTAACTCTTCGCCTTGGACAAGCCTACGAGCCGCTCGCCTAGCTGGCCAGTCTGCTCGACTCGTACTTGGGCTCGTGAAATGCCCACGAGCCGACTTTTCACGAACCGAGTGGCCGAGCCGACGAGTCACTCGGCCCGTTTGCCACCACTAGCCGTGGACCTCGTCTCGTAAAGAAAAAGGGTGCTGCTCGACTCATGGATACAAGCTAAAGGCTCCCATGGACCAAGTTGGGATGGGCTCGTAGGCTCACTTGTTTGGATATTTTCAATAATTTATCTCGGAATAATTCCTCTTCGGTTATTGCTATTATGCGGCACGCGGCATGCATGTAATAGAATTATCGTTTTTAAAAAACCTAATAAGAACCCGATGCAATTAAATATTTTTTTAGACTAATATATTTCCCTCTTGATACATGTCATTCATCTAAATTGTAAACAATACGGATTGTTATGCAATTAATTTACATATGATCAATTTATCTTTAAAATTAGCAACAATTCCTAATTACGTATTACGTCCTAATCTCTACGCGACATGATTTCGAAGTTTTCCACTGCAGATTTCGTTGTCCTGTATTCCCGTGTTTGAAATGGCCGTAAACTTTGACCATTTTCAACATTAATTCATTTGAAATTTTTGTATTTTATAAAATTAGGAAATGTCAAAACACATTACGCTTGAAAAAAGTGTGACAATAAATTTGCACATGAATAGAGATACGGTAGTGATCGATTTCACTTTATCTCAAAGTTTAAATATCTCCACAAAATTAATTTGGCAATTGCTCGTTTTCAATTAGATCCCGTCTTTCTACAAGTTGCTTGACGTGAAAAATCGACAAATTATTAAGAATTTTAAGCAAGGGAACGTGTCATTAATTGAGCAGCTTGTGCTGGTCAAATAATGTGTACACAATTTTAAAATGACATTTTCTTTTGCAAAATATGATAGTTGTATGTTTGTCTGGTAACTTATCCGTCCAAATCCATTGTCCGAGATTATCGAATGATAAAGAAAGCTAATCAATCAGTTAGTTCCAACAAAAATTAAGTGATTGAGATTTTTATTTAATATTAATTTTTTTAAATCAATATTTCTGTCATTTTTATCTTGATTATTTATCTAAATTATCTCTCTTTCATGCGTGCAACAGTGGAAGATTTCGTTTGAATTTCAAAAACAAAAACTATTTGATGTTTACCGGTAGCACTTCACCCAATGAAATAAGGCCATGTTTGGGAGAAATTTTAATTAAAATTCTAGCCGTTAACTATCAAATCAGCCACCATTTTTGACTTTCTCTCTCACAGGTGGGGACCACAGGTTGACTGTAACGGCTATAATTTTGATTAAAATCCCACAAAAATTGCTCCCAAACACGCTCTAAATTGGAAGCGTGCGAGTCTTCAAAAACCATTCAATATAAGAGTTACGTTTGATTTTCATAAAGTGTGTGGTTAAAATTTTAATTGCAACCATGGAACTTACATGGAGAGAAAATAAATTTTAGTCAACTGCATGGAAAATATTAAGGTCCTGTTTGGGAATGATTTAGATTTTTCTACAGTAAATCAATTCTCATTTTCAACCACACATTCTTCAATAAAATAATTTTTTCTATCACATCAATAATTTTTTCTTCTTTTTCAACCACACATTTCCTACCATATCACTATTCAAAATCAATTCTTCCACAAAAAATTCCTCCCAAACAAGCTCTAATTAAATGTGTTTGATTGATTTAATTTTCAAACTGAAAATTGTTATATTTGTACATCTTTTATTTATGAATAGACGAGAAAAATGGGTAGATGAGATAGAGCGTGTACGAATTGCTTGAAAAATAAAATCTAGCCTTTATTTTTCTTATTTTCGATGAAAATATGGTTAAGTAACCAATTTTTGGAAAAAAAAAATGTCGATCAAATACCCAAAAATAAAAATTGACATTTTATTTGAAAAATAAAATCAATCAAACACAGCATAATGGTTAAGTATTACCTAAACTTTTTAACAACTTTTTAAATTTTCTCAAACGAACAGTTGGCACATAATGTCTTGCGTGACTTCTTGGATGCTGCAATAATTAGTGAATAGCCATACGAAAAGTCAAGACATTATGAAAAGAATTTATAAGTGATTTTAGTTTTAAACAAACTAAAATGAGTACCGAATAAATTAATAGCATTTGTGAATTCATTAAAAGTTGTATTTAAAAAATAAAGTTTGACTATATATAAATAATTTATACTAAATTTTAACAAACAGAATATAACAAATAAATTATAACATTTTATAACGTAAGAAATATTACACAGCAATATTCTGTCATAATTGCACAACTAACAAGTCCCATTAACTTCTTACTATCATGGACAGATCCAAGATCGGATTATAAGTCGGGCCAATACGTAACATAATTTTTTTTTTTCTTTTGCTACTAAAAAATATTGAATTGACGGGAGCCCCCGCCAGACCCGTCCCTGCCTACTATCGACATAAGAAAATATGTTTTCCAGGTAGAAAACTAAAATGTACAGTGAAATCATCATTACTTATCAAACTGAAACAAAATTGGAACTTTGACAACGAGACTAGTAAAAAATCGAGTGACAAGAAAATTTTTTGATCAAACATTGACGACCCTTGGAATTTTTACCCTATTAATATTTCTTTTATTCAATTAACTAATTGAACCAGTCATTGCTCAAGAAAATTTAAGACGGGCTAAATAAAAAAATTTAGGGTGCGTTTAATTGCGGGTATTAATTATTTATACTCGTCTGTTTTTTATTAAAAGAATGAGAGTGGACAGATATAAGAGAGAAAGATAGTGAATTACTCGAAAAATAAAAACGGTCCATTCCTAAAGAATATGTTTTCCTTATTTTTGAGGAAAATATGGTCACGTGATCAAAAGTTCAAAATATTTTTTATGGAAAAAAATTATCGATCAAACACCTCAAGAGTATGAATTTAAAGCCAATTAAACACACTCTCACTGTTCGCATGAGTGGAATGTCAAAAAAGTTGGATTCATTGTCAACAGCCACCAACACCAACTTCCAATTCCGGGTTCCGTGGTGTAACAAACGGCACACAGAATTCATTCAATTGCAGTCCTCAATTGAGTGGACCAAATAAATTACAAGTTACCCCTTAAACTTTGACTTAAATAGATACGACACGCTTTCTTGGAAGCCCAGCCCATTTCAGAAAATACTTGTAAACGGTTATAATATGTGTTTCATGCGTGGACATTAATCAAAGTCAACATTGACCCAAGTAATTTGCTTTATTTTATTTTCAATATTAGGTGGCAAAGAGTATGAAAAGGCTTACTATTCTACAAACGTATAAACTATATTGACTCTGACTTCTAAAAGGTTGAACCCTTGTTATAGAAATAGGCAAAGTCAAACACCGCTCGACTCGTTAAAACACGCAAGGAAAAAGTGAATCTCGAAGGAATTGGAATTGAATCATCTCTATTTTTTTATGTGAAGGAGTCTACATTTTCATCTCTTATTATTTATTCCGTAAATGGAGGAGTTTGATTAGTAATTTTTTTTTTTTTTTTTTTGAGGTCTCTATATTTGGAACAATAATGACTTCTTGATACTAATTAAGTTTAATCAATAACATTAAAGTCTAACAATGGGTAGAAAGGAGCTCATATCTAATTCATGATGGCAATTAATCAAGTTGAGCCGGTTCGGTCCATGAGCTCGTGAGCCCTGCTCTGCCCACGAGCATGATCATTTGAAAAAGGGAAAATTAGGTACGGAACCCTGTAAAAATTAAGTATTTGATTCATACTTTAAAACTAATTAAAACTACTTT